GCGGCCGACGGGGGCTCCAGGCGCACACCCTGGTGCTTCTGGGCTCTAAGTCCCAGAATAAGTCCCTTGCCCTCTCTGGGCTTCAGTTTCCCCATCTAGAAAGCGGACGTAGTTACGGCTCCTGCCTCACAGGGCAGTGAGCAGAGGATGCTGGGAACAGGCCTGGGAAGCGGGGTTCCTCCATGACGACATCAGCCCTCCATGACGTCAGCCCTCCCTGCCACTTCACTCTTCTGCCCTGAGACGCAAACCCCTTGAGACAGAGCCTGTCCCTTTCCTGGCGCTGCTGAGCCCCGGGGTTACTGGGGACCACCGTGCCAGGACACGGGTCTGCTGTGTAGCACCAGGGGCCCTGTGTGCCGGCAGTTATTTCTCCAAGTGGTTTGATGATGCATTCTCCTCCGTGTCTGGACGGGCCGTCTTGCAGATGGAGGCGGGAACAGGGCCAGTGAGCGGTCCTGTGCCCGGGACGGGGAGATGGGCCAGGCCTCTTCCTCCGTGGTTCACAGCCACGGGCCAGCAGCCCACGGGGCCTCCGAGCCTCAAAGTGGGCCTGGGGAGTGGAAATGGCCCTTGGCCGAGGTGCAGGGCCTCAGCGGGGAGTGGGGCAGGAAGCCAGGCGCCCGGGAAGGAGGAGGCTGGGCCCATCTAGTGGTGCCTTCACCTGGAGAGGAGGCTGCAGTGGCCTTGGTGGGGCCGCGGACCAGCGGGGGCTCCCCACACTGCTTGGGTGTGCAGGGATGGAGAAAGATAACAGCCACCATTTCAAGTGATCGCAGGGAGTGCTGGGCCCCCACAGAGCATGGCTTCCCCTCCATCGCTTTGGTGAGGGACCATGCTGCACCGGCCCAGACGCGAGGAAATGGCGGCCAGGCTGTGGCTTGTCCGAGGAAGCCCGGCCGGCAGGACTCGGCCTCCCTCTGCGGCTGTGGGGTGGACCCACCGTGCCTCCTTGCCCAGCCAGCTCCAAGGAGGTGGGTGTCCAGGGCAGCCGTGGGTCCCCTGCCCTGAGCCCCGACCCCCTGTGTCCTGCAGCTGGGCAGCCCTGCCCCTAACCACTGCACCCACTCACCCCCACTTTTCTCTCTGCTCCCTTCCAGCCCCCAAGGGGTGGACCCCAAAGAGGCATTTTCCTTGGGGGACTTCCTTGGGAGGCTGCCCGGGTTGAGCTGTTTCCTGGGAGACCCAGTCAAGCACAGAGACCCTGCAAACAAGTCCAGCAAGAGGCAGGGCCACTGAATGAGGGGACGTCCTGGGGAAGTGAACTGGGGAGGCTGGAAGAGCTCTGGGGATGGAGCAGCCTCTCCTGCGGAAGTGAGGTTGAAGCTGGATCCCAGAGGGAAGGAGGGGAGGTGGCCGAGCCCCGGGGGAGAGCAGGGTCAGGGCGTGGTGTGGACTGAAGCCCCACGTGCAGTGGGAGCTGCTGGGGGGTCTCGAGCAGGAGAGAGGCTATGTGCCCCCCAGAGACGGCCCCCGACTCCCTGCTGCCCTCACCCCACCCCCTCTCCTTCCCAGGTCCCTCCTCCCCAGGCCATTTCGTTGACCACAAACCCTGTTCCTCTAAGCATCCGCACTCACCCTCGTCTTCCTGCAGTCCTTGTCACTTCTGCTTTCTTGGGTGGAGTCTGCGCCGGGGGCAGCCGCAGGAGCAGGCCGAGGCACACCTGGCTCCATGAGCCTCGGCCCGGTCCCCTTGCATGCCAGGCAGGGTGTGGGGACCTCCCCGTCATCACCTGTCAGCCGGCTTCCTCCACACGTACAGAGGAGGAAGGTGAGGCTCAGAGAGGGGAAGAGGCTCTCCCTAGGCCACACAGCCAGGAACACTCAGACAGGATTCAGCAAACCCTGTGAGGTCCTATCACCTGCACGGCTGCCCTGCACAGCCCGGGGTGGGGCCCGCAGAGCGGAGGGGAGGCCACCACCCACTCCTCAGCGTGTTCCTCAGGCACGGGGCCTCCTGCCCCCTGCAGCCTCTGTCCGGCCTCCGGTTTGAATTCCAGAACTACTGCCTCTTTGCAAGTACCCTGAGCCCTAGAACGAGGACGGTGCATTGGTGACAAGCCGGGACCTGGAAGTCCTGCAGAGCCCGGCCCTGTGGGGGCAGCTCTGGGTCGAGGTTCAGACTTGCGGTGGGAGTCACCTCTCTGAGCCTCGTCACTCCTTGTAAAATGGGCTGTTGGTAGAGTCACCACAGAGGGTCCATGAGAGTGACAGGAGTCCTCGGTATCTGTAAATCACCGAGAAGAGCCTCCCTGCGGTCCTGCGGTGAGCCGCTATCCAGGTCTCCTGGTAAAGGGACAGCCACTGTTCTGCCCAAAGGGAACCCACGAAATCCCGACTGCCCCGGGCGCTGACGGGCACTGTCCGCTCTGGCTTCGGGCCCAGCATGTCACAAGCATGCGGGCGGTGGCCGTAAGCTCTTGTTGGATGATGACTGTGGTAAGTCCTTGTGCCGCCGCCTGACAGCTCCCGGCTCCTGGCCACCCTCTCAACCCTAGGAAACGTGGCATGTCCGTCCACCCCACAAGCCCGCCCAGCGCCCGGCAGCAGCTCCCCGGAGGGGGCTCTCTGTGCAGCCACTTCTGTTTTAATCGATTTTCAAGGCTCAAATGAAGCTGCCTCCGTGGGAGGGCTATGAAAGGTCCAAACAGGTGGCATCCCCAGTGTCCTGGACCCGTGTCCCCAGAGCCAGCCTGGCATTTGAAGCTCCCAACCCCATCCCTGCTGGCTCCCTTCTGAGCGTGCCCAACCCTCTCTGGCCCAAGGGCAGCCTGGTCAGAATGGGAGCACCCCACAGGGATGCCCCACCACACTCAACCATCTTACACCCCACAGGGATGCCCCACGTACCCACCTTCTTGCATTGTCACCAGGGATTGGCCACCAGCCCTGTAGCCAGGAGGTGTTGACGGCCCCCACAGCTGTGGCCACACGTGTTCCCAGCCGTCAGCTTCCGGGCAGGTGGGTGGCCAGGAGGGGCAGGCACCCCTCGGAGGGAGGCCAGCAGCTGTGTGGAGGGGACAGCAGGGGCCACGAGGCCTGGGTGGCTGCTTACTGGCTGCTTCCTCGCCACACTGTTCACCACACACCAAGCAGACAGGGTACAGGGTTGGGGGGGGCTTCTCCACTCCTGCCTGCGGCACAGGCGCTGGTTACAGCCGGGCACTGCCACCCTGAGATGTCGGGCAGGACCTCGGCCTCTCTGAGCTTCTCCGCCCTCCGTAAAAGAGGCAGATGGCAAGGGGATCAGTGAGGTTTGCACAGCATTTGGCACGTGGTAGCCGAAAAAGCCATGTATTGGTCACCTTCCACAGAGGCCGGGTGGCCCTGACGCCCGGGGCATCTCTGCATCTGACGATGGTGCTGGGGCCCCTGGCGTGGGGAAATGGCAAGAGAAGCAGGGGCAGCATCCGCAACTCACTAATGAAGGCGACAGACACCAGCCAACTGTGGCTTCACCTGCTCATGCCCTGGGCCATGGGTGAGACCCCACAGGTGTGAGCAGCAGGGGGAGCGTGCGGGGCCGTGCGGGTGTGAGCAGCAGGGGGAGCGTGCGGGG